CTCAGGCCTTTGGGCGTGATCACTGCATAGAAATGTTGCCAGAGGTAAGGGAATAAAGTTACAGTTCACTCGATTGTGTTAGTACTGTGAACCTGATTGTAGTGTTTGCAACAATGTCTGGTGATATTATAGGTTTTGGATGGGAGAATGCTGAAGATCTGGACAGACAGAGCATCTGAAACTAAGCAGCTCGGGTTGGTCTATGATTACACATTGTTGAAACTATCCGTTGACAGTGTGACTGTCTCAGCTGATGGAACGCGTGCTACGGTGGAAGCAACTCTGGAGGAGTCTGCTTGTCTATCTGATTTGGTTCATCCAGAAAACAATGCTACAGATGTCAGAACCTACACAACAAGATACGAAGCTTTCTGGTCCAAGACAGGAGGATGGAAAATCACTGAAGGCTCTGTTCTTGCATCATAATGTGGGTTCATATTTAGCATGTCTGAACTTGTGATTTTCTCTTTCTTTGTAAATTCTCCGGCAAGTTAATGTTGAATAAACGAAGTCGGTAATCTTCAGGTTCTTGTCCCTCCCGGAGGGATATTACAATATAAGTGCTACACTTCAAGTATCTTTTTTCAGTCAGGTTCATATTATGTCTAGAGAGTTACTTATCTCTTACATCCGTGCCTTGTACAATTGAAAGAATTAGAATTTATTTGATTAAATAAGTGATTGGGTTTATTTATGAGAATTTCTTATTATTGGTTATGGAGTTGTGGTTTGTTAATTGGAAAAAATAGCATTCTTCTATAATAGAGGGATATTTTTTAATTTGCACAATAGTTCTTTAACTATTTATGATTATAATTAAAATACTTGTTTATGAAAAACATAATATGTTTACTTATCAAACACAATTTCTTTTTAGTTTACAAAATAATTCTTAATTTTTATAATAAATAAATAATATTATTATTTTAATCATAAGTCTAATTCTCTACATAAAATATTATTATTTTATTTGAAAGTTTATCTTTCTAATAAAAACAATATTTAAATTTTATATTCAAAACTAAAATTATTAATTATAATTTAATTATTAAAAAGTTTTCATAGCAGATCTTAATAAACATATTTTATTTAAACTTAAATATTAATTAAGACAACCTATTTTATTTAGACTTAAATATTAATTAATACAACATATAGACCATGTTTACTTTGTTTTATTATTTATGATTAATGTCTTTTGTAATAAATTTTTTGATTTAAATAATAATGCATATTTATGAAAAATGATGATTGTTATAATGAATGACTTAATTTGCAATAATTAAAAGTTAAAGGTGTTAACTACAAAATAAAAAAGAACTTTGTAAGAATATTTTTTTAAAAGGAAAAAAATAGAGTAATACATTGGAGAGAAACCCACCTCTATAATAAAAGAAAAAATAGAAAAAAATACATTGAAGATGATCTAATTCAAGAGGAACTCTCAAAACTTTTACCCATAATGTTATTTTCTGAGAGTAGCTCGGTGCTAGAGATGACAATCACGGATCTGGACCGCGGGCCAAGCGTAAAGAACTGTCCCGGGATGGTATTCGGACGAAGATTTTTAGGCCCGCGAATTTGCGAGCCTCGCGGGATGGGTCTTTGCGGGACTGGGTGTTTTGCGGGATGGGATGAATGGATCCGCGGGATTACAAGGACCCGTATTTTTTTCTTTATTTTTTGTTTTATTTATAAAACGAGATAATGAGTGAGAAGAAGACGATTTATGTGATTTACCCTGAGAAAGCGTAAGGAGCTCGGACGATGATGATAATTCAAGCTTCGGTGATAATTGTTCGAATTCCGGTGATGACGACTACAACTCCGGCGATGACGATTCGAGTTTTAGTAGTGTTTTGATTTGGTTTCTCTTTTTATTTAATTTGAGATTTGGTGTTTCATTTTATTTATTTTTAGATTCAGCAAGCTAAAACATTGGTTATGAACTTATGAGTTATAAGATTTTGGAATATATTTTCTACAATTATTTTTACTTTGTATGTTAATATGTTTTGGGTGTGATACGAATAATTACAATTATTGTTTTGATTAAAACATAAGCAAAACAATAATTGATGAATTATGTCTAGTTGAATCGACGACTTGAACTATGTTCTAGAATGGTGTGAAGCGTTTTGGAGTGACCTAAATCGTTATGATGCGCGTATTATCACATGTCTCGTAAGACGACTCACGAAGACCTAAAAAATGCAGTACGGGATTGGGCAGTTGTATTCAAATAGCATCTCGCGCTGGACACACCCATCGAATCCCTTTAAAAGACAAACCCGCAATGATCTGGGACTAGACGGAACAGAAGAAACCAAATGTCATCTCTACTCGGTGCTTTCCTTAGTTGTCATTGGACCAAAGAAAGCATTCTTAATGTAACTATATATTTTTGTTACTATTAGAATCGCATTGTTCTCCACATTATCATTGTGACGTATAAAATAAAAGTATAGTAGTTGTTCACCTTTTCTTTTTTTTTCTTTCTTTTTCCTCCTTGTGCGATTGTGGTTGTAAAAACATTTCTGGAGTCTTTTTAGGAGATGTACCCTTAAATTCATTAATAAATATGTATAATTGAATAATTTAAATAGCGATCTATAAATTATAAAACAATGTTTTAATTAGGGATGAGCGTTCAGGTATTAATTCGAGTTCAGTTTAGATCCATTCGAGTTTTGAATTTTTGAGGTTCAAAATTTCAGCTCCATTCAGATATTTATAAATTTCGGTCTGAATTCGGTTCGGATTCGGATAACCGATTTAAATTATTTCAATTTTTAAATTCCTATGTACTATAATTTTCTCAAAATATAAAAAATGATATATAACATATAAATTTGAGTTTGTATGCTAAAATAACATAAAAGCTGGTTTATCTTGAATATTTGGACGAAGAATCAATATACATTTTATTTTTGTGTGTGTGTTTAGTATTGTTTAGCTACTTTAGCTATTTACTTTTTATAATTTCTACTAGATGTTTTACTCGCATTTGCAGGCATAATTATCTTATGAATATTTATTGGTTGATGTTTCATTAATTTAAAAAGCAGCATAATAAGTTATTATTGATGTTTTCAAAAAGTAAAAATCAAACATCAAATAATTATCAATGACAAAACTCAAACATCAGAAATATTTAAAAAAATATATTTCTATAATTATTTTACTTGATTTATATTTAATTATAATATTTATACAAATATTTTACTTAATTTATATTTAATTATAATTTTTATATCTTAATTTTAAATTTGATAATAGGAAAACATTTTCAAGATAACAATATAATGCCTAAATTATTTCATTTCTAAAAAATATAGTATGATAATTTTTTTAATTATATAACAATTATATAAGATTATAGAAATTATGACATAATTAAAATTACATAAAATCATGGAGAACTTAATGAATCAACAAATTAACTTCTTAAATATTTTTTCTTGAATGATGATTTATATTTAATTAATAATAGATAATTTTTCTATTTTACTTTTAAATTATATAATATAAAAATATATTTTCAAGATAAAAAAATAATACATAAGAATTAACTTATTTTTTAAAAGTATAATATTATTAGTGTAAATTTATTTCAATTATATAATTACTACAATTTTTATATCTTAACTTTAAATTTCTAATAGAAAAATATATTTCAAGACAGAAACTTAATACATAAGAAGTATCTTATTTCCTAAAAAATTGATACTATTAATATAAATTTGTTTTAAATATATAATAAATTATATATAAAATTACGATAAATTATCAAAATGATCTAAAATCATGGAAGATATGACAAATTAGCAAACATCAAATTTACTACTTAAATAATAGTATAGATTTTTATATGTTAGTTTTAAATTTTATAAATGAAAAATATATTTTCAAGATAATATCATAATACATAAGAATTATCTTATTTTTTAAAATATCATATTATTAATATATATTAGTTTTGATTATATAATAAATAAATAAAAATTATAGAAATTCTGGCAAATTATCAAAATTACTAAGATCAGGGAAACAAATCAATAAATTCACTTTTCAAATAATTTTTTGATGAATTATATTTAATTATTAATAGTATAATTTTTATATGTTAATTTTAAGTTTTATAATATGAAAATATTTTTTCAACATAACAACATAATACATGAGAATTATCTTATATAATATATTTGAAGATAACAACATAATTCAAAAGAATTATATTATTTTATAAAATATGATATATTCATATAAATTTGTTTTATTTATAAATAAATTATATATGAATATTAAAAATATGATAAATAAACAAAATTACCTAAACTTATGGAGAATATAACAACTAAACAAATTTACTTCTTAAATAATAGTATAGATATATATTTTTAAATATTTTGTATAACTTCAAAATATCTTATTCATTTTGGATATATATATATTGGATATTAAATTTAAAAATAGCTAATATGTTCAAATATATAAATCTGATTTGGATATATTCGGATATCCAAAATATTTCGGTTCGGATCAGATTTGGTTTTGGTTCTTTAAATACCAAAATTTTGAACCCATTCGAATATTTAACTAATTTCAGTTCGGGTTAAAAACTAATTTTCGATCTAATTCAATTCGATTTTTTGAGTTGCGAGTTTTTTCCCAGCCCTAGTTTCAATATAGATTTTCAAAACATAAGATGATTAAATATATTTTTAATTTCTAAATTCATTAAAAACACACAAACAAATTCCGACTTATCATCAGTATATTTATTTTATCATGTAAAAAATAAATGCATTTTTAATTTATTTTCTATATTCTATCAAAAAAGTTTTTTTTTCCTTTTTAAATAATAATTTTGGAAAAGGGTTTCACCGGCAAATAAGTTGTATCCCTGCGTGACCTAAAGAGCTCCCTCCGTTGCTGCTTCTGTTGACTAGTCCTGCCGCAACAGAGCAAAACAAGACACAAAGTGTTGAGAGAGAAGAATGGGAGTACCTTCGTTCTACAGATGGTTAATCGAGAGGTATCCATTGATTTTGCAAGATGTCATCGAAGAAGAACCTCTCGACGTCAAGGTTCCCGTCGATACCAGCAAACCTAATCCAAACGGCGTCGAGTATGACAATCTCTACCTCGACATGAACGGAATCATTCATCCTTGTTTCCATCCTGAAGACAGAGTAATAACTAACTAACTAACAACCCCTTTGCTTTTTTCCTCTTCTTTCTCCAAATAAATAATACTCTCTTTTTCTTCAGGCTTCTCCGACAACGTTTTCGGAGGTGTTTCAATGCATGTTCGATTACATAGACAGACTATTCGTTATGGTTCGACCTCGGAAGCTCTTATTCTTGGCTATTGGTGAGTGTACTATTTTATTATTATCTACTGTTTTGCTTTTTTTGCTGTCTTGTAATTGTTTATTTTTTTGCCATGTGTAGATGGTGTTGCTCCAAGGGCTAAGATGAACCAACAGAGATCCAGAAGGTTTCGAGCTGCAAAAGATGCAGCAGAGGCTGTATGTAACAACAAACCCCTTACTTCGCTTCTGTTTCAGACTTCAATTTATTGAAATTTTGATATGTTTTAGGCTGCTGAAGAAGAGAGACTGCGGCAAGAGTTTGAGAGTGAAGGGAAGAAGTTGCCACCTAAGCTGGACTCTCAAGTTTTTGACTCTAATGTTATAACTCCTGGAACAGAGTTCATGTCTACTCTCTCATTTGCGTTGCAATACTACATTCACCTTAGACTTAATTCTGACCCTGGTTGGAAAAATATAAAGGTACTTACTTACTAATTATTCCCTTATTGCTGCTATTTTATGCATTGCATTGTTCACGCTTTGATGATGATATGATTTTCTTTGTTTCTGTAAGGTTATTCTCTCTGATGCTAATGTTCCTGGCGAGGGGGAACACAAGATCATGTCTTACATACGTCTTCAAAAGAACCATCCTGGTTACAACCCCAACACTTGTCATTGTCTCTATGGTTTGGTATGTAACCTCCCGTTCCATGTTTTGTTTTTGAAATAAGATTTGGGATCTTGATCGAGTTAACTAATTAAGGCATGATTTTTACAGGACGCCGACTTGATCATGCTGGCTTTGGCCACACACGAAGTTCATATTTCAATCCTTCGTGAGGTTTTTTACCAATCTTAACTCGTTTATAATCTCAACACTTACTTCTTCAGTATCGTAGTTATTAACAAGTAATTAGCATCTGAATGAAATAGTCACAAATTTGTATGTGAGTCTTTAATGTTTCAGGATTCACTATATAATGTCAATTCAACCCGTGTTTCCTCGTGGTGACTTCATATAGGTTGTTTTCACTCCTGGACAACAAGACAAGTGCTTCTTGTGTGGTCAACTCGGGCACCGAGCAGCAGATTGTGAGGGCAAGGTAAAGAGGAAGGCAGGAGATATGTTAGATAAACCCGAGACAGATGTTGTGGCTAAGAAGCCATATCAGGTATTTTTAAGGGTTACACACCTCAATACTATTTTTCAAAATTGCATGCAATGTAAAAGGCTTATTAATATCTTTAGCATAATCATTAAGTTCCCTTAACTTTTTACAGTTCGTCAATATCTGGACGCTTCGAGAGTATTTGGAGCACGACATGCAGATACCGAACTCGCAATTGCAAAAACATTTGGACCGCATAATTGATGACTTCATCTTCATCTGTTTTTTTGTTGGCAATGATTTCCTGCCACATATGCCTACACTAGAGATACGAGAGGTTTGTTTCGTCTTAGTTTTCTGTTGTTCTAGTTTTGTTCCAGCTTTTAAGATGTCTTGTCAATGTATGATCGATCATATATCACTCTCGCTAACTCTTTGATATCTTCTGAACAATAGCAATTCTTAGATATGTGAGCTTCCCCTGTTCCTATATCAGATTCTGTAGCTATAAATCAATCCATAGAAAATCCTTATAGAAGTCTTCATTTATAGTTGGAATTCAATAGCTTAGTACAGTGAAACCTCTATAAATTAATAATGTTGGGACTACACCAAAATTTTGTCTTTTTATTAATTTAGAGAGATATTAATTTATAGATATACTAATTGAACCAAAAACTCAATTTAGGACTATAAAATTATACTAATTTATAGAGATATTTAGTGTATATTAATTTATCGAGTATTAATTTATAGAGGTTCTACTGTACATATTTAGTCATACTCTGCTTTCGTTCAATATAATTGATGCATCTTTGTGTCAAACGTCTATGAGCCTGCTCAAGACAGATTGACGAGTTTGAAAAAAAAAATCAAACAGGGATTTTTAGTCATAACTTTGTTGTCTTGCAGGGTGCTATAGAATTACTTATGTCCGTGTACAAGAAGGAATTTGGATCAAGTACAAGTTACTTGAGCAACGGAAGCAAGGTGCATTGCTTAAACATTCTTCATCGTACTAGATGTGGATATCGGATTAATATTTTAATATGTTCATCTTTTAACTTTCAGCTGAATTTAAAGAATGTCGAGCATTTTATCCAGGCCGTTGGGCTCTATGAAAATAATATATTTCAAAGGAGAGCACAAAATCATCAGGTTAATGTCCTTCTATAATTAGTTTTCTGCACTTTCCTTTATTCTAAGGTATTATAATGGAAGCTATACGATCAGAGTACTTGCTTAAGATTATGTGGGAAACCTAAGAAAATGCTCAAACGAAGTGAATGCTCTGAAACGCCAAAAATACTGCCATTTTGCATCGCTACCTAGTATTACACGCCTCTTGTCGCAGAAATTAGATAGTGTATGCAGCAGTTTTCTTTCTGAAAACGTGCCATATGCCTCTCTCTGCATGGCTTAATAACTTCGATGCACTACCTTGTACTACACACCTCCCCGTTGGATCATTCACCAAAAATAAAAGCTTAGAAAACATGATTCCGATAAATTTGTATGGCGTAGTATTTCAAAGATGCAGTTATTGTGATATCTGTTACAGAGGCAATCGGAAAGGTTTAGTCGTGACCGAGCTCAATCGAGCAGAAAAAGTAACTATGACCCGGTTGTGCAACTAGATCCTCTAGTTGAGGTGTCCGATTCATTGCGTCTGTCATTGAACGATAACTCTAGCGTGGCGAAGGGGGAAACAGAATATAACATCAAAGAAGAAGTAAGTCATCGGATGGTGGATTTCAATAAATTTCTAGCTATCTTTGTACCTTTTTGTTGGATTGTTTTTGTGTGATTATAACCTTTGTTGGTTAAGTGTAAACTATTTTCTGTTTCTCCATTTCAAGTTTTGGTGAAACTGTCAAGTTATACTGTTTTTTTGCTTGATGTTATTTAGGGACTTGATTTTTACTTTTTCGTTTGAATTATACTAAAATACTTGATGCATTTTCAGGAGATGGATAACAGTGAAGAATTGAAGTTTAAGCTTAAGAAACTGTTGCGGGAAAAATCAGATGGGTTCAGTTCAGGAAAAGGCGAAGAAGATAAGGTCACTTATTTATTATTTTAGCTGCTTCTACATCTGCATGAATGCTTAATCTTTGTGAGCTTGTTTACACATTTGCCTTATCACTCGGGCGATTCCACATGGCTGTTGTATGATCAGGTGAGGCTAGGTGTAGAAGGATGGAGGGAGAGATACTATGAGGAGAAATTCGTAGCCAAGACTATAGAGGAAATGGAACAAATACACAGAGATGTTGTGAGTTTCCCCATGCGTGTAATTTTGATGAAATATAAATTACGCTTACGTCACTTGAAATGCACAAATTTACTGTTTTGTTATTAATGACCAGGTCTTGAAGTATACAGAAGGTCTTTGTTGGATAATGCATTACTATTATCATGGTGTTTGTTCATGGAATTGGTCAGTTTCCTGTCATCCTCGTACATATATAATATACTCTTCGTATTTCACTATTTTCTGTGTTCGTTTCTTGTAATATTTTGAAGCAGGATGATTATTGCGCCTAGATAAACAATATATTCTTTTAGGATTGTAATGGTCATTTTTATTTTCGCATCATGCTTCAAGTTTGAGTAGACTGTTCAATATACCAAGTTTTCCGGGAAAGCATCCATCATATTTTTGCCATCTATCTTCCTACTTTTCCTCTAGTATTTTCAGCTGAGATGTTTCAAGTTTTGCTTACATTGGGTCGGAACATGATTTAATTCCACATAATCTTGTTCTAGAGGCAAGATGGCCTTAGTAATAGCAACTTTAGCAGAAATGAGCGAACTGATTCACACTTTGCGTTGCTCTCTATTGTTCGTCTTTGGTTAACTGCGTGTTTTTTTTGCAGGTTTTATCCTTATCATTATGCACCTTTCGCATCTGATCTCAAGTTCCTTGACAAGCTAGATATTAAGTTCGAACTAGGTTCCCCATTTAAGCCATTCAATCAGCTTCTGGCAGTTCTTCCATCTGCAAGGTAATTCTATCTGTGTTTCTGAGTGTTCATCATCTCTTTCTGCCGTCACTAGTTTGCTCACTGGATTCCTATTCTAGTGCACATGCTCTCCCAGAGTGTTTTAGGAAACTGATGACAGATCCAAATTCACCTATAGCTGAGTTTTATCCTCCCGGTATGTGGTTTTTGCAGAATTAGCCTCGTTCATTGTAGTATTGTCCAATCCCTGACTCTCAGTTTCCTTTTTTGGTGTGCAGATTTTGAGATTGACATGAACGGAAAGCGCTATTCTTGGCAGGTTTGATTGTCTTTTCAGCTCATTAAGGCAGATATGATGGTTTGGTAGCCTGCACTATTTCTAACGTTAGATGTAATATCTTTCCTTGTAAAGGGTATAGCAAAACTGCCTTTTATAGAAGAAAAGCGTCTTCTGGAAGCAGCAGCTAAAGTGGAGCACTCACTGACGGTACAACCTGTCACATGCATAGATATTAACTTAATAGTGTTTATTTCTGTATAAGAATCACATGCAACTTTGTTTTCCTTCCATTTAATTTTTCCAGAAGGAAGAAGTTCGAAGAAACAGTGTGTTGTCTGACATGCTCTTTGTGGTTTCATCTCATCCCCTTGCTGAGCTCATCCGTTCTCTTAGTAGCCGTACTATCAAATTGACCAACAAAGAACGAGCAACAGCTACGGAAAAAATTGACCCTGGACTAAGGTTTGTATTTAAATCTTGAGAATGGTTGATTCAGTTGTAGGGGGTTTAGTTGTGATTAATTTTGTTATAAAAAGGGCTAATTTAGTGAAGAAGCCAAGTTAAAATTAGAATTAAAACCGAGAATTTCTTGATAACTGCAGTGAAGGGATGAATGGTTACTTAGCGTTATGTGGTGGAGATAGTCAGCCTTCACGCTTCAGCTCCCCCATCGAGGGCATGGAAGATGTATTAGCCAATCAAGTCATGTAATCCCTTTATCACAGATTTCGATTTTGTCAGTTTATGGTATCTCCTTGAGTTGTATCAAATTAACACTTTCTTTTTACAGGTGTGCCATATACAAACTTCCAGATGATCTTAGAGGAAGCGACATTGCTCGTCCACCTTCAGGAGTGGTGTTGCCTAAAAAGGTATAGTTGATTATTACTATTTGCATCTATACTTGGATTCTGATTTTGTGTTTGACGTTGTGGTGAAAATAAACAATTCTTTCTAGAACCAAAAAAAACATAGCTTAGTAGTGGTTACAGTGTTATTCATTTATCGTGTTCACAGACTGTACAACTAGCGGATTTAAAAGGTGGAGCTAATCTATGGCATGAAGATGGTGATCGAAGACGAGCTCCTGCAAAGATTATAAAAATCAAGAGGTAAAGATTATATGGATCTTTTGTAATATCCAAAGTTTTGGAAGGCCCTTTTATGTAGGGATGGTGTGTAATGTCTTAATCCGTTTTCTCACTGTCTGCAGGTATAACCCACAAGGATCCATTTCGGGGGATAGGCTTGGGAAGGCAGCGCACAAACTAGTGTTACAGACAATAAATTCCCGACCGGATAATACAAACATCAACTCCGAACCAGCATTGTGTCCGAATACTATTTTCCACAACAATCAGGTGGAGAAAAAGGTCCCATCGTTCCGAGGGAGTACGGTACAGAAGAAACACTATCAGAGTGAATTGGCTTTGAATAAAAACAGAAGCCATCATCAAAGGGGACAACTAACCCAGGAGGAGAAGACAGCAATCAGAAAGCGCAAGGAAAAAGAGAAAAGAGGGAGAAATTTGGCTAACAGAAGGGAAAGAGCAAAGAATGAGAAGCAAGCAGAGAAAGGAGAAAGCAATTTGGAAAACAAAAGGCCTCGAAGTGAAGTCAATGAGGAGAACAGGGTGGAACATAAAAGGCCTCGACTCACTGAGGAGAGAAACATAAACACTGAAGGGAAGGAACAAAACAAATGCGCTCAAAGTGAAGTCACTGAGCAGGAGAAGAATGCAAAACGAAAGCGCAAGGAAAAGGAGAAGAAAGAGAAAAGAAGAAAGAGCAAAGAAGAAAAAGATAACATAATATGAGCAAGCAAAACGGAGGAGAAGTTTTGTTAGAACCAAACGTTTTTATTACTCATGCTTTAGCGACCGTTACATGTATCTTTAATTTCACAAGCTACCTAAAACGACAAAAGCCAAATTCCACCATTGTACTTGTTTGTGTTGTTGTGATTCTCAGATGGCGATGGTGCTCTCTTGGGTCGGAATGAATTCGTCGGATCAGTTTGGTGTGTCATTGCAGACATATTCATTGGTTTTGGGATTTATTTCGGACTGGCTGATGTTTGATTGGACTCTTGAATCAGAGGTAGCATTTTCTATGTCTCCCCCATAGTCCATAGACGACACCAAATTGTGTATGATGGAAAAGGTTGTCTATAATTAGATCACTAAGATAGTATGTACGAATTGGACTAATATTACTGACAATGAATACATATAACAAACGAGAAGAGAATCTAAATCTCGAGTAGGTAAGTCAAATCTCAAATGGCAAATGGTTGATAATGGTCTAGTCTTTGTCTTTTATATTGATTAACTTGCTCCGGAGATCTCTGCATGTTATGTAACCGATTTCCCGAAAAGTAAATGGGTCTTTGATTGTTATATGTAGACTAGGAGCTCACTGTCTTTAGTTACGAGGTAGTCCTTTGTGCTGAAATAGTTGGGCTTCACAGATGGATCATAGTTTATTAAACGCAGCGATCAATGCTAACTAGGGCTGGGCACAAATACCCGTTACCCGCCTTAAACTCGTTACTCGCCCCGTATTTGCCCCGTAAACACAAGTACTTGTCATAATCAAGGTAAGTAACAAGTTAAAAAAATTCATTACTTGCAAGTCTAAACCAAGTAACAAGTATTAAATTTATTATAGCTACTTGACTCGTTTTGACTCGTTACTTAACTTTCAAATTTTTTTATAACATTTACATTGTTATGTCACTTAGTTTAATACTTATATAATATATCAAACATATGAAATCATATAATTCTCTCTTTTCTTTCATCAAATTCTCTGTTATATTATCTCACATTTATTGTAACATAAAAATCAAACAAATTCTTTTACTATAAATAAAGACAATCACCTAATTTTAAAATCATTGGAATTAAATTTCTATTTTAATAATTTAAATACAAAAAAAAAATTAGATAAACAAGTACAAGTACATCAAGTTACTTGCAAGTATCTCATATATTAACGAGTACTTGCTTAATCAAGTACTTGATATTAGCAAGTATAAGTACAAGTACAAGGCAGATTTTTTAATACTCGAACGGGGCAAGTCGAGTTACAAGTATAGAAAAAACTCCGAGTACTTGCCCCGTGCCCAACCCTAATGCTAACGACTGAAATTTAAAAGAAAAACTGGATTTCTGATTTAAGCGCAGATATCATTTTTGTCACAGATGGATGGATAAGTTTTTTTTGCTTTGATGATATAAAATATTTTTGTCTAATATAACTTTCTAAAATTATTGTAGATTTAATTTATTATTATCATCAATATCTATGTAAATGTATTATATATAATTGTGTAGTTTTATTTTGGAAAAATAATATCAATTAACTACTCTAGGTGCTGGAAAGCGGGTCAAATTCGCTATGTCCGACTCGCAAAGAAAATAATTTTTATCTGTATACGTCCCATTTAATTTTACGGATAATCCACGGGACCTTTGGATAATTATTAATATTAAAATAATTATTTTTTCTCAAAAATAATATTAAATAGTATATTTTTAATTAAAATTTTAATTTTTTATAAAAATTATTATTTTAACGAAAGTTAGTATATTTTTGAAAAATATATTTTTAACTTTTTTTTTCTATTTTTACAGATTACTGGATATCCACAATTGAAATTAGAAAAATCCACATCCATCCATCATAAAATATATTTGACCTGCACCCGCACCCGCAACTTAGTTTTTTCAAATACCGATTGACTCGTTCCGTGGCGGGTGGAATGAGATAAGATCAGCGGACTAATAATTAAAAGGTGAATTTGACCCATAATAAAACTCATTAGTATCTAGTTTTTAGGTCTAAAATAAAAAGACCAGATTGTCATTAATAAAAAATTAAATTTGTTCATAATATTAAGGATATTTTTGAAAAACATAAAAATCTCATTAAAATGAGTGATCCTGTTTGATGAGATCATTTAAAGAGAAAAGAAAGAAAAAAATGAAAGATTATCCGTGTTTTTCAGTTGCAGTGCAAAGAGATCGAAGATAAACAGTACTGACACTAGTTAATTTAGTGTCACAAACATCACCGAATTCCATCGATTATTCTAACGCATGTTCTTTGTTTTCATTCACCAGCAACCAATTCAGAAAAAAAAATTACAAACAAATTTCAGTCGCTAGCGTTGATTGCTGCGTTTAATGAACAAACATGCCAATTCAACTATTTGTGCTTGAACATTTTCTAAGGCGACCGAGTGATTATGGTCAAGGGGTAAGGAAGAGGGATTGGGATATTAATATGTTTTAACTTTGATCTACTTGCTATGCGAAACTAAATCATAATTATTTTTAGTCACCTAATATGGATACGAACTCATACTTTCAAACCCATTTGAATATCCGGAGACAGGTTTATCCGTGGATTACACCTCCTTTTGGACATTAATTTAGAACTTATTTTTGGGTTCACCCCCTAGAACCTCTTGGTTCACCAACCAATAGGATATTGTTATTTCATATTTGATATATTTTAAAAAAAGAAACAAAATCTTGTCAAGTTATATTATATTTTTAAAATAAAAAAGAGAAAAAAATAAGTAAGAATAATAATATTTACAAAAAAAGAAAAAAATTCTTTAAAAATATATTTTAACATTATATTATGTTTTAAAATAAAAGATAAAAATAAAATAAAAATAGTAATAATTGAAAAAAATAAAACAAAAAAACTTTTAATATATCTTTAAAATAAAAACATGTGTTTAAAATAAAAAGATAAAATAAATAAAAAATAGTATAATTGCTTAGTATTAATTTATCCAAGGGTTAAGATTTTTCCAAAGGGTTTAGGATTTAGGATTAGGGTTTAGGGTTTAGTATTAGGGTTTAGGATTTAGGATTAGGGTTTAGGATTTAGTGTTTTAGTGTTATTGTTTTCAAAGTTTTTTTTAGTTTTTTAAATGTTATTATTTTTTTTATTTCTTTTTGTATATTTATTTTAAAAACATAATATAACTTAACAAGATTTTTTTTTTTTAAATATGAAATATGAAATAATACAATCTTATTGGTTGGTGAACCTAGAGGTTCATCCTAATGGGTGAACCTAAGAATAACTCTTAATTTAGACCTCTCCATATAGTTGAGATATTTCCAGATTAATAAAAAAAGCTTTTTCTAAGGCGGATATGGTTATTTTGAATAAAGGCTTATATCTGTATTAAGTGACAATGAATAATTTAAGACGGATTTATGTTATAAATCGTTTGTTAACATATAGCAATATATGTTTTTATATATATTTATATGTTTATATATATATATATAAACTTATTTATATCAAATTATTATGTTAATATATAATATGTTTAATATATTTATACTTATTGTAATGATTTAATAATCGCTATAATTTTGTTACTGAAACTAATGTATTTTATTTAGTTATATATATATATATATATATATATATATATATATATCAAAATATAGTTTAGTTGAAAATATTATTCTTCTCAAAAGTTGAAAAAATACTAATTGAAAATTAGTATTATAAATATAAAATTAATTTGGAATATTAACATGATTTCATATTATTACATAGAAATACAATGATTTAAGAATTTTTGTAATTGTATCTATTTAAATGCATTGCTAACACTTTCAAAAAGTTATATGTAAAATTCTTGGAGAAGTAACATTTAGAAATCATTTGCAACTTCTAAATACTAATCTTTTTTTTGTCAACACTAAATACTAATCTAAATGACTTTTAATATTAGTTGATTGGATAATAAAAACAAACATGATATTTTTGTAAATATCTTGTTGTCAAGGCCCAAGTGAGGAAGGATGATGATGGGGAAAAAATCAATACCTAGCTGATAACGGTGTATATTAAAGATATAGCAAAATAAGAATAAAATAAAAAAATATATTTAATTTTTGTCAAAATTGCTTTTCAAGGTGGACTGCAAAATCCATAACTTCAACGAGACGTGATTCAAAAATCTTCAAGTAAGCAAATCCGGAGAGAGAGAGAGAGAGAAAAGATTTTGAAATTAGATTTTCTCTCTCCGATTATCTTATAGTTTCTCATCCCACCGTCTATTCTTCGCCGGAGTTAACAGCGACTACACGTTACTCCGCCGGTAACTTTAGCTGCGGCAGTTTCCGATCTCTCGAATCGGTGTTCTTCTTCGTTCTCTTAAGACTTAAGAATCTGTGGGCTCTTTGATTTACTTTCCAACTGCTGAGTCATCATGTGTTTTTGCCCTAGTTTTTAAATGGCGAATTATCAAAATCTATTTGTGTTTTTTGAGTCGTTTGTTAGTTACTTAGTTTTAATTTTACTGTAAGATAATCTATCTATCTTCTCCTTTTTAATCCCATTTATTCTCAGTCATGTGCTTGTTATCTTTAGAGGCTTATGAGAATTCTACTTGTATTGTGCATCTCTGCTTATACACCAGTCATGTGCTTCCCAACTAGAATAGGCATATCTATTTTCAGATTTCTATAAGCTTATAGTTAAAATCATTTGATTTTACTAACTAATTGATGCTCTTTTCAGTTCTTCAAGATGATTGGATCGTTTCTTACAAGAGGATTGGTGTAATGAAATCATAATACTATCATTTCTTTATTTTATTTTTAAATGATACTCTGGTGTTAATTGATTAACTCTCTCCTACATACATTTGTTCAATCCAGGATGTTGTTGGGTTATGCATACCCTGCCTACGAATGCTACAAGACTGTTGAAAAGAACAGGCCTGAAATTGAGCAACTTCGCTTTTGGTGCCAGTACTGGTATCTATATATATACACTCTTTTCCTTCATCTCCTCTCCCTTTTTTTTGAGGTTCAAATGATTTCAAGTAAACCTCAATTTTTACAGGATATTGGTTGCTTGCTTGACAGTTTTTGAGAGAGTTGGTGACGCCTTTGTTTCATGGTGGGGCCATTCTACTAAACATAATTACTTCTTTTTTGTTTTTGCTCTCTTCTTATCTTGTCTTGATTTATTCTCTAGGGTTCCAATGTACAGTGAAGCTAAGTTAGCATTCTTCGTCTACCTGTGGTATCCTAAAACCAGGGTATGTATGTCTTTATTTTGATTACAGGAGTAAAACTACTGAGTCTTTCTATGCTTAGTTTTTTTCCTTCCTTTGATGATTGTTCAGGGCACTACATATGTCTACGAGTCCTTCTTTAGGCCATATCTCTCACAACATGAGAGTGACATAGACCATAGTTTGTTGGAGCTAAGGACAAGAGCTGGAGATATGGCTGTTATATATTGGCAACGAGTTGCTAGCTATGGTCAGACCAGAATCTTTGAGATTCTTCAGTATGTTGCTGCACAGTCAACTCCAAGGCCGCAGCAGCAACCTCAGGTTCAGTTTGAAAACAATATCTGATTGTTTGTAAGTGGTCTGTGATATTCATAATTGGTTTTGTGGTTTTAGAAACGTGGAGGCAGAGCTAATCAAGTTCCTGTTAAGCCTAAGAAAACCCCTAGCCCTCAACCAAAACCTGAAGAAACAGCGTCGTCTAGCTCATCTTCAAGTGACAGTGAAGGTAATGATGCTACTACCAGTAAAGCAGCAGGCCCTTCAAAAGCTACTCCTGGACCAGCCACAGATACCAATAGCGTTGGTATCACTCAGATAGTGCAAAAGTTAGTCTCTTCCTCCCCAGCACAATCATCCACCCAAGTGGAAGCGGAACCAATGCAGATAGAACAAGTGGAAGGAGAAGGGGAAGCGGAATCAGTGAATGGAAACTCGATCCCGGACGGTCCAAAGGAGACGGTAATTGAGCAGACAATCAGGATGACTCGTGGGAGGTTGAGGAAGACGCTGTCAGAGGAAAACCGTTGAAATAAAAAAGTTACAAAAAAATTGTTAACTACTCTCACTACATTTGTGTCTCTTTCTCTCTGCTGCTTCTAGAATTGTGTTGACAGGAACTAAACTAGTGGGGATGCTTGTATGAAAAGTAAATCTGCTTGTGTTTTTCTGTCTTATTCAATTCGTTGCGTTAGGTATTGCGATGGGCACTCTTTGTTTTTGGTTTGGTACTCCTGATTTGGTGGTAGATTAATTCAGTTAAAGAGGTACAACTACTGAGAGTCGAAATGAAGCAAATATGAACCATAAATCAAAAGGTGGTTGTACTCAGAAGTTCTGTTGCAACTAATCATGTGATCAAATGATAGTAAGAAATGAAACTAGAATAATTTATAAGAATATTTTAAAATTAGGTAGCTAGAATTGAGACCACCACCCATCAAAGCTTCTCGGCTTGGTCATCTATACTGGATCCGGGTTGGTTTGGTCAGTTTTCTCGATTTCTTTTTCTTATAAAGAGTTCATTTTAGCTAGAGTCTTCCATTGTGGAGAACTCATTACCGTCTTGTTTCTTTTACGGAAGCTTTCATCTTTTCAACCTGGTCGATCATCGAGTTCCTATTTTGTTGAGAAATTTTCTTTTCTCTTTTATTTTTTAAACTACAAATTCTCTCCTTATATAATGTTTATCTTTAGTTGATTCCTTTTGATGAAAGGAAATATACATTTTTCTCACTAATTGTTATTGGTTAAATGTTCTCGATAGTGAAGATATAATACAAAATGTTTTAATAACTGTTACAGAGCTGCTTTCCTATTAAAAGAAAGAAAATACTTGCTTAACTATAAGCTATTTCACACGGAATTGAATTTCAAAGATACCATCAATCAGTCTAGAGGTTTATGAAATCAGCTCTCTCCTGTAGATTTGCACAATAGTATGCAACTTTATTATGGACAATGAACAGTATAGTACTAATGAGCGGAATTGAACATGAGTTTTAAAAGAAACACCAATAAATGAATAAATGGTATTAGAGCTTATGTTTAATAAGGTAGGCATAGATAAATGAATTTTGGCATTTGTTGTGGAGAGAAAACCCTCAAGACGAACTCGTGATCAAAATGCATTGCCGCCTTATGTTGAAAAGTTTCCTAATTGTACGGAGGTTATGTATAGATTCTACGTTGATGGTGGCAGTATAGTGCAAATATGTGCTAGATTTTACTGAAGGGGGAAGGTCAAGAATTTGTGTGATTATTGAGTTAATGAAGTAACTGGATATCAGAGTCTTATATCAAAAGTTTGGATAAAGATGGTCTAATATATATTTCAACGGAGTCCAACTTCAAAGAACTAAAAGTGAATGTGTGAAAATTATATATTTGAACACAGAAACAAACAATACCATTACAATGAATATTTGTATGTGTGCTTCCAAAGTTCAACAAACCAAAACATCACATAGTATATAGATATATACATCTAGTTGTAGACATACAACAAATAATATATCCTCTCTTGTAAAATACATAACTAGAACTGAATCCGCGCATTCGTGCGGATATAATTTTTAATTTTTAAATTACATTTAGAATATAAAATAAGTTATATAGATATAGATTTTATATTATTTTATTTTTTGTATATAAATAATTTTGCAATTTTATATTTTGAAAAACTGTTTTTATTAAAACTTTACTATTCATATTGTTAGGCAAAATAGTTGTTTTGTTTCTTTGCATATTTAAAAATGTAACATCATATTAAAAAGTTTATTTTATAAACATTAACCTTTTATTTCTTATTACTAATTTTCTTAGAATTTTTGTTTGAAATTTTTTATTATCGAAATACTAATATATGACTAAAGCATGACTGGTTTTCCCGCTATTACCTGCAAACGCAGCTTTTGCGGTTGGTAGCGGTTGTTGGCGTTTTGCAACAATCACTTACTCTGAACCGCTTCAAACCGCTCTAAACCTCTTAAATTCAAAAGTAGGTTCCAACTAGCGTTTGCGATTGCGGATGGTTACGGGATGCTGGTTTTTTTCCTTTTTTGTAAAAAACAATATAAGTACAAAAATAAAAAATATTCAATAAATTTTTTAAATTGGAATTATAAAAATACGAAAATATATCTATTATATTTTAATTAATATTATTAAAACAATTTTTAAAAAATCAATAATTTAAAAAATTTAAAACTATAACTTTATTAGTATAATTTTTATATTTATTATACTATTGTGATTTTTGGTATTTTTTATAATTATACAAAATGTAAATATTGTTAATTTATATTTTAACCGCTACTGCATTTGGTAGTTAACCAGTCATAAATATCTCGCAAATGCACCAATTTGTAATCTCAGTACTAGTCGTACAAATCTCCTAAAACCACAAAAAACTGCAACCACACGCATCCGCAAACTCAATTTTTGACACAATTTGGTCAAATGCAAAACTAATCCGTTTTTTCTAGACGACTTACGTATTAGTCATCTAGAAATTTTTTTAAACATACAAAGCTGGACGACTTAGAGTAAGTCGTCCGTTTGAACAGAAGACTTATCCATAAGTATTCTACATTCAGAAGACTTACGGGTAAGTCTTATACGCGAACAAATCTGGTAAAAAATTTAGTTTCATACCTTCAACTAGGTGAGATGACTTCCTTAGCACACAAAGTCTTCTCCAACCACCCAGAACATCAAACGAAAGTAACCCACCAAGAATTGTATGCTTAAATGGCTCTATAAACTATATAAGATTTTGAAATCAAAAGTTTGAGTTTTTTGTATGAATATGGAAACAAAGTGAAAAGAAATGGTGTTTTGTTTTTAGTTCATAACAACTGAGAAAGAGAGTTTGGTATCGATTTAAGGTGCATTAAAAGCTTCAAACTGGTTGTACAAGGTTGTTGGGTGTATTCATGGCAATGACAATGTTGTAAATACTTGAAGATGATGAGGTTGAGAGAGTAAAAAAACCATTTTTTGGAAAAAAAATCACAAAAAAATTTTAATGGCATTTTCATAGATAAAATGAAGATATGGGTGAATATGACAAAATAAAGATGAGTCAAAAGAAGAAGTTAGTTTTGTGTTTGAGTTTGAGTTGTGAGTCAATTTTGCAAAAACGTCTATATTAAAAAGATTTATCACAAGTTTCACTGATTTTTGAAAAAAAGTTAGAATAATTTTTTTTTAATTTTTAATTTTATTTAAAATAATATTTTTATTTTTGAATTATTAGAATTTGGTATTATTATCATTTTATAAAATATATAAAAGGTTTTAAAATTGATTTTCAAATGATTTTTTTTTTCATTTCAAACAATTTGATTTTTTTTTTCAAAATGTCAAGTAAATTGTTTTATTCTTTAAAAGAGTTACAAATACCATTATTGATGAAATCTCAATATTATAATAAGAGATTTTATATAGTTTACGTCAATGTTCAATTCAACAACATTGGAATCAAAGATTTAAAGAGAATTCAAGATTTGATTAAGTCCAAGAAAATCTGAAATTTGACTATATCTTAAAAAAAATTGTTAAAAAATGTATGGGTTTTTGAAAAAAAAATCAGGGTTATTTTAAAAGAACTTAAAATTTATTTAAAACAATTTAATTAAAAAAATTACTGTAATTTGATTATTATCATTTTCTAAAATATATAAACTTTTAAATTGATTTTCAAATGATTTTTTTTTTCATTTCAAGTAATTTTATTTTATTTTTAAAAAAGTTTCAAATACCATCGTAAATACCATCATAGAGGATATATTTTGACTCATTGTTTTTTTTACTAAATTCATTGATTCTCCACTTTAAAATATTCTTCAAATCCCAACAAATCACATATGAAAGATTTTATTGAAAAATATATTTTCCAATAAATTTGATTTCATATAGAATTTAGAAATGTTAGATATAGTAAGATGAAATTTGAGAAAAAGGGAAATCCTCTCAAATGTTTGATCTTATAAGACCCCTAATTTTTTTGAATACCAAGTTCAAAAAGAGAAGATTTGGAGAATAAATGGGTTTCTCTCAAATCAATAAATCATCAATTCAATAAGTCCATTAGGGGAACAAATCTCTTTAGTTCTTAAAGAAATTAGTTTGTGATATAAACTTTTTAGTGCAATTATAGAGTGGATAAATAGATAGTTAAAAGAATATCTGAGCGGGGAATCACATATAAAATTGATTAAAATCACGCGGTTGCACCAAATTATTGGCTTTAATACTTTTTTGAAAGTAATAATAATCCAAAACAATAATTATAAATGATCATCATATGCTACCCTACACCCACTCGTACCTAATCCAATTTGACTTTGTTTTTTTCTCTCTCATCCCTGAGTGTCACTTGTTTTTGTTGAGAAAAGAGAGAGAGATTTTGCTAGAAAACCCAAATCTTAGGCATTTTAGGGTTGCTGGAGTATAGATCACCCACCTGCTACTCTGAATCAGTCTCTTTTTTACCCAAAACCCTAATTCCCCAATTTTTAAAAAAATAATTTGATTATTTCAAAGCTAGTAATCTACGCTCCGATCCACTTTTCCTAAATTATATATTATTTCACTTGAGTTTTGCTCTCCTTTCTCTCTCTCTCTATCTTTCTGGGTTGAATCTGGAAAACCCCATGAAATGCATTTCTGTGTCTGATTCGATCGAATGGAAGTGAAGCTGTTCGTTCTCGGATTCCCATGGAGTTTAGCCGTTCATGTTCTAGCCTCGTTCAGCTCCGATTCGCCGCCGTTTCAGGGGTTTGTTTCTTCCCCCCCCGCTTTTGATTTTACATTTGATTTTTGTTTTTTTTCCGTCAATTTGATGGTTAAGTTTTCAACTATAGAGCTTAGGTTCTAATCTAAATTAGTGAAAGTCAGATCTCTGCTGCCTTATTGCAACCAATTAGGTTTTCATTTTTTCTTTTCCAGATTTTGTTGATTCTATTGTGGAGTGGAGCTGCTGAAGGCAAAGGCAGGCATCATCCTGCGCAAGGTCATGGAAGTGGAGTATCTACTCATTCGTGCATCCATGATCAGATAATTGAACAGAGGAAGAGACCTGGTCGGAAAGTATATTCTGTTACTCCCCAGGTTTATCATGAGCCAAGGACTGCTCACAAAGGAAAAGGAAGAAGGGCCTTGCTTAGTGTTTCCGAGGAGGAGCAGGAGGATGATGTGAAACAACCTATCCGGATTTACTTAAACTATGATGCTGTTGGTCACTCCCTTGACCGTGATTGC